TTGTTGCTCTTCAAGGTGAGAGCGTTTGTGTACCTCAATGAGTAGGTATTCAGATGCACACATGTGTTAGTTCATTGAGTCCATACATTCTTGCATGCATCTCATTCTTTGGATATTCATTTTTTTTTCTTTGTTTCATTTTTTTTAAAGGGAATTTTTTGAAACTACAGCACATTATGTGATTTACTCGAACATGCTTATTGTGAACAAGTATGAGTAAAATTGATTATAGTTTCCATTACCTTGTTTAGGCTTTATGTGGAGTACTAGATAGGTTTCTTCATGTATCATCTGGACAACACACATTATAATCTTGTGAATGAGCATTAAACTCATGTTTAAGATTTGGGATGACTGCCATCTGTTGATAAGGTTACGTTGAACATGAATTGACCTTTAACTAGTTGACCTAAACTCTATTATATTATCTAAAAAGAAAAATTGATTCATCTTATATTCTTCTTTGGAGTCTATTTGACTCACATAATTAAGTATGAGGGGTCTCCCAAAACCTAATGCCTTAAGATTATTTGACTCGGAGTTATTGGCCCATATCTCATTACAATGGTCATCTTAGTTGCTTAATGGAGAAGAGTCTGCTCATAATATGTGAAAAAAATTATACATGCTTATATTCAGGGGGAGAAAAGAAAAACCTAAATAAAAATATGAGTTACACTGTTCAATTGGCCCTAGTGTTTTAGGTTTATCTTTCATTAACAAAGGAAAATACTCATTCTGTAATGATATTTAGCATGTCATTTCTTACAAATTTAAGGTTTGGAGTCTTGCTCACAAGGAATTTGTGGCAATTTTCACACATGGGATACTTATACAATTCACTCCATTTAGACTTGAACTGGGTATGTGGGAAGAGTTTATTGTTCATTAATTATACCTATACAAGTGAAAAATTGCATTTTTTAAAGTTATCATATGATGTCGATTTGCATGCCACGATGCTACAATTAAAAAAACAAAGAAAAGTGCTATTTTTTTTAAAATTACCTTGGCACTAGCTAAGCGGCAGAATTATCGCCCGAGCATTCATAACAGAGACTTGGCACTTGCTAGCCGCGCGCCTACCGCTCGAGCAATAGCGCGATTTAGATTTAAAATAGGTTCAGTTCTTTGCGATTCATTTCAACATAAACTTCAAACCCTCTCCAAAATTGAAACACCCATCCTGAAATCTTGATTTCAATTGTTAATGTGGCATGCTTGCATCAACTCTAAGTTTTCAAATTCCTCATTCATTGTCATTTTCATCCTATTCAAGGTATATATTTTTTTGAAAGCCCTAATTTATTTATTTTTCAAATGTTCGATACTTTTGGGATTTTTGAATTGTGATGCATATGTTGTGTTAATCTTTCATCTTGTGTGTTAAGTTGGAGTTAAGGAAAGTGTCTTAGGCTATATTGCATCAATTATATGAATTATTTTTTCAAATTTTGAACCTCTCTCTCGACAGTGAGCTTTCTAGTGAAAAATCTTTGATTGAGCATACGATATATGTAGTATGGGTTTAGTAAGATTTGATGGATAAATTTGTGATGAGAATTGGTGGCTTTCCCATAGCTTGAGAGTTTTTTTTGGTTTTTGTTTTTGTTTTTTGTTTTTTGTTTTTTTTTTTGCTTATAGCTTCATAACACACAAGCCACATGTTTGATAGATTACCTCTACAACTGTTTTGGGAAAATTTTCACACACTTTCGATATAACATGTTGCATACACATATATAAACTCATTCATGTCACTAGATTGCACTTTTGATTCAATTTAAATTGGAATTGGAGTTAATGCAATCTCACGCTACCATATGTCTAGGCACCATGTCACTTTCTTACTTTCGGCCATGACTCACGTCACGTAGTCAGTTTCCTACGTCCTTAGATCATCTAACTTGGATCTTCGTTATGTATGATCATGGCTTTTTTTTATTGTTTGATGTGCATTAGATAGTTTTCGCATCGATTTGCGCGCACAAGTCTTATTTTTCTCGTTTTACTGGCATTACATGCATATCATTTGTTAGGTCTTCATTGAGGTATACAATGTCGCTTGTTATCATCCCGTTGATAAGTTCACTGATGCCACTTAAGAGATTAAGGACTTTTAGCAAGAAGTTTGTTGCCTCGACTTCTGTGACGGTTCATTCGACGAGTCGAGATTTATATCTACCACTGCTTATGAGGTATTTGTGAGTTAGTTTTCTTATTGTCCCCTTCTCGTTAAGTGTGAGGTCATACTAAAGGACCTACCCATTGACATGGTTGCCATCATTACCTTTCGTGGATGGGAGCTAGTCTTTCGAGATCTTATTCATCGTTCGAGTCTCCTTGCTAGGGAGTTTTAAGCAAACATTTATTATATTCAGTCTCTTCACTTCAGCTTCTTTATTAGAGTTCAGGTGGCGAGAGTGAGTCCTGATATTATTTCTGATATTATTTAGATCCCTAGAGTCCATCACCCATTGTTTCCATATTTGACTAATGATTATATTCTCATTCTTTCTATTTTGACATCGACTCTTTTCAATACTGTTATGGATGGTGGTCTAGGTCCTATTACTACTTGGTCCCTGTCAGTCGATCGACAGATTTTGTTGCGCATTGTGTGGACAAATTTGTGGCATATTTCTCATTTATCTACCTTGCCTCTAGAGAATGCTAGATTTTTCTATGCTTTACTCCAAGGCGATTCTATTGATCTTCCCTCTTTTATTTGCCATCATCTTTTGAAGGCCTTTCGTACTAGTGGTAGGACGATAGGTCTTCCTTATGCCTGTTTGATACAATGCTTGGTTGAGGGGCTCAAGGTTACTTTCTCCTAGGGAGTTGTTGAGCGGTTGTCTCGTCCTATTAGTCGGGGCCACGTTTGTTCATAGTAGGTCTCATATTCCATCTTCCTCAACTTCGACTAATACTCTAGATGACCTTTTTGGTCCTGAGGACTCCGACGTTACTCCTTCATTTGCTAGTAATATTCCACCTACGGGTGCTACCGACATTCATTCTACTTTCACTTCCATTCCAATTCCTCATGTTCTTCCTGCATCTTCTTCTCATTCTATAGATGCTTCAATTGTTACGATGTGACACTTTTCTTTAATCACCAAGCAGCAGGCTTGTATGATGGCTAAGATCACAATGTTGTAATCCACATTTGAGAGGCATACAGTGGATCTTGCTTCACTACAATCAAATGTTCAGTGAATGTGCCAACACTAGCATGATGAAGATGATGTTGAGGACTTGGATGAGTAGGTTGACTCCCTTTATCATTTGTGACAAAAAGGGAGAGCAGTTGGAGTAGTTATTTTGTGTATTTTGGAGTAGTGGCTATTTATGATGGGATATATATCTCGACTTTTGGCATATATTAAGGGTGAGTGTTTATTTGATTTGTGAAATCTGCTAAGCTAAATTAAGTTTGATGTTTTAGTTGCATTGCTGTTTGTTAGTGTTTTGATTTACATTGATATTACCTCTTAATTTAGTTGGCTTGGTCATTATGTTTCTTCTTATATATCTCAACTATTTTTTATATGTTATTTATTTCCTTAACTGTTTTACGCACCTTTACACTTGGTATTTGAGTTATTGATTCCATAAAAGAAGTTTAACAAGGAAAGAAAGTTACAGTTGAGTCAATTGGGGAGCTTTGGGTAGTTAGGAGTTTTTATTGTTCATACTTTGATATTGTAATGCTAATTTTTGTCACATAATGCTAAACGGAAAGTTTGTTAGGTTTTGTAATTAATTGGCTATTCTTGACAAAACTAAAAGTAATTGGTAAGTTGTAAAAGTCTAGAAGTTGTTTGGGTAGAAGTATAGGTCGACAAGGAGTCCAAAATATTAAAAATGGAACAAGAAGAAAAAATAGTTGCAACGTCGTTAGATTTCCATTTGGCCAACGCTGGGGTAGCGCTTGGGCAGCATGAATAAAAAATGAGCAGAACCACTGGTGCTTGTCGGCACCTGGCTAGAGAGAACATATTCCAAAGATCTTTACATCGATTCAATCAATTCTCGTGATTCAACCTAACATCAAAACCCAGATAATCAAAGCACCAAGACACACACTTCCAAATATCTGTCAGAGTTCCTAAAATTTAGGAATGTGACCGAAGTTTCTATTGGAGAAGAATGAGTCCATTCTTAGAGATCCACAATAGATAAACGAATCCAGGGTTCTGGAGCACGGAGTCCAAAGAGCTCCCTGGTGTTGCAGGTAGGTAGTCAGAAAGTATTAATGTTTGGTCAAGTCTGACCAGTCTGTAAGTTTTTATCGTTTATAGTGAATACTACTTAGTTGGGCCCGGAGTTTTTACCCTGCGAAAGGTTTTCTTCATCATCAATTTTGTAGGATTATTTTCTTTTCTACAATATATCAACTACAGCAATTCAACTGAGAATAGTATTACATGTAAATTCATCTTGATATAATTAATAATTGTGACATGTTGCGTCTATTAATTGATAAATTTAAATTCCACATAAGACATCTATTCACCCCCCTCTCGGGTCAAACATCGTTATTTTCTATGACAATATAATCTCCGTCGATCTCATTGAGACTCGTAAATGTTTCTATGGAGTCCCATGCAATTAATTGATCAAAAGGATGAAACACAATATTTGTACACAAGCACTACAATAATTTCCCATGCCTCACTAATGAAATTTCTCAACCCCGTACTTACAAAGCAAATCCGTGTGAGTGAACAAACAGTGAAAATACATTATCATTATCAAAGAAAAACGAAATAAAAACTCAAAATATATGGATACAACACATGTTAAATATACCAAACCATGAAACTTATTCATCAACAACACTTGTCTTAGCTTTTAACCCGAACGAAAATTACAGTGGTCTTAAAGGCACCACAGAATGTAATCTGTCTTCTTCTAAAGAGCCTCTCGTAGATGCCTTTCTGTGGACAAAGATCCTTTATTTTGGAACTTTGGCCAGGAAAACTTTGATTCTAGAGTCATCTGTCATAAGAAATTCTAACTACATCTGCAGCATTTCATTTGAGAATGTCAAAAATAGACAAGTTAGATAGGGTTCGATAATATAGGACAGTATTAAGAAAGAAAAATAAGTTAAAATTTTGATTATTATAATGTTCAGTCCTCCTATTAGTAATGTGTACCGAACATGGACTTTAAGTGATGACCAAATGAGACCAAACAAAACTTGAAGATATGCAGAAATGTTGTACCTGATCTTCCGGGTAATGAGACTGGTGCGTCGATGCTGAATTAAATTGAAACAAAGTTGGATATGCTATACAAGTTGATGTCTCAAGTTTAGTTCGATTCAGCTGGAAACACCTTGAACTCGCACCTTGAAATGTAATCTGCAAAGCTCAGTATGGTATCGTCAACCAATTCATCAAAAATGGTTTCCTCCATTTCAATACCAATATGCTCAATATCTACTCTAATGTTCATCCATTTTCCAGATGCCATGTCTTTCTTGATAAACTGAACCACAGAATGGGGCGGGAAACGCTGAAAGAGATACCCCTCGACTCGTTTCCATACCTCTTGAATAAGATCCATCCTCTTAGGGACTGGCCGAATATTTTGATTAATTAATGATATCCCGGTAAAGCATCCAAAATAACTCTCACACATCTCCTCCAGAACTTGATTAGTACAATCGAAGAGGAGCTTTTGGTCATGACAAGATTGACTAGGAAATAACTCAACTTCATCAAACAACAACGGATCAAGAATTTTGTACAAAGAAAGCCACCTCAGAAGATAATCATCCCAGTTCAATCCAGACCCAAACAAGACAGCTTCCACGTATTCATATGCAGATTCCTTGTCCTCAATAGAAGTTATTAAACAAATTCCTTGGTCGCTAGCAGAAGATTGTTCTTCAAAATGTATTTGCTGCGGTTGAATTTCCTTTTCATCTGAATATCAAACAGCTTCCTTTCAGCAAGAAAGATAAAACATAAAAGAAAGTCATCCAATCAAAGGCTATAGAATTCTATATATCAACCATCTAACCTTGTCGAGGCATGGTGCTCAGAGGACTGATATCATTTTCGGCGAATAATGGCTCAAGAACGGATATGGGACTTGGTCCATCTATTTTATCAATTATATTCTCAGGATTTTCAACATCCAGGGGACAGAATGTTGGAGACAAAAATAAGCTATCCCTTCCAATTGAATCCTAGAAACAAGTAACAAAAATATTAAAATTTCAATGGAAATGATTCCGAAGAAACACGAAGGCAAAATAAGAGAAAAATAACAGTGCTGAAAAATTTTCATTAACACGCCACATATGTGGAGGGCTAAGTGTTCCTATTGATATTGGCTTAAGATTCAGAGCTGATACAAACAGCAACAAACATTGGGAATTTACCGATTCCAAGCATTGGAAAGAATTTGCTCCATCATCTACTTCATCAATAGAACCATTCTGGCTCTCTCCAGCGATTGAAATGATAGTCGATACAGAAGAAATTATTGTACTTGTTTCTTCTTCCTCATGCCTTAAGTCAGTTTTGTCTTCTATCACCACAAATCTTGAAGACGAACTGGGAACTGTTACGATACAAAGTTCCGAATAATTATCACCTAGAGATAAAATACCATTCGAATTACATTTTAAGATTGGAGAAAAATACCTTCAGCATTTACGACACCATCAATATAGCATTGTGATTCTCCAGAATAATCTTCATTATCTTCACAAGGAGTAATTTTATTAAGAGATGGTACTTTCTCTCTGGGATTGTCACTACTGCTATGAGGTTGACTCCTAGATGGACTCGGAGGACCGTCATGGTTTTCTTGCACAAGATGATTCGTGTCATTAATGATGCCAAGAGGAGATAACCTCGTCTGGGCAGTTATGATTATGTCATCATTGTATTTCCTGGGACTGCAACAAGGAGAATCATTATACTCAGGGAGAGAGAGAATCCTACCCAGGGATTTATGTAAGTGCCAGCTCACTGGCTCTGCATGATTATCCCCATTGTTCAGCATCTCAGAAAGATGTTTCTTTGCTTCGACATAGATGTTAGACACCCCTTTCCCAGGATTTTGAGAGGTTTCATTCATCATTACCGAGCAATGATCTTTTGATTTCCCAACATGTTCACTCCTCTTACAGCCAGTGAAAGATTTTCCAAATCTTTCAGTATAGAAATGGTCCCTATTTGGAGAACTCCAGTAGACATTTTCTCTACCGGAGCTTTCATTTCCATTTTGGTGCCTTGATGATAATTTAAGGATCAGCCCATCAGGAGAGATTCCCTGTTTTTCCTTTCCCACTGCATGCCTCAACTTTCTTCTAATTTCGGTGAAAGAGAACTGGGATGTACTTCTCTCATCCCGCACTTTATTATCCATGGTGTAATTCGATTGATCGACATCAGTATGAAGGTTTTGTAATACTACTGATGCAGGCTTCAAGATGACAATTTTACTTGAAGCTTGACAGTTCTTATTTCCTCCCAAGGGGTAGCTTTCCAGAAATTTTCGCCTACTGCGGAAGAATTTTCGGTGTCTACCATTAACTAGATCATCAGATTTTGAACTGTTTAGTTTCCCTTCTGACAAATTGGATCCCGCCAGAGAACCAAGTATCTGAACTTTCTTTAATTGCGCATCCTCCAATTTCTGAATTTGCTTCACCAGTGCAGAGTTGGGATCTTGCAGTAGTTTCAAGAACAAGGCCTTATTCGAACTCAATGTTTGCAGGGCATCCATCAATTCTTTGGAACAATTGATTTTCCCTTCTTCCCCATAATGTTTATCATTACTCAACCTGTGTTCTATAAACACCTTCGTTGCTTCAACTAATTTTGCTTCAACAATCGAGAACTCCAGACCAGATGGCATGTCAAGGTCATTATGAAGATCATGCTTCACACAGCTTTTAATTTTCTGATGAATCCAGGACAACTCGTTTATTATAAATTCCATATCATACGTATCCGAAGGCTTTTGCTCTGGAACTTTATGAAAGTTTTCAGATGTCAAGCATTTTGCTGTATACAACTCAGAAGCATCCATATCACCACTAGGTGTCTTGTAAATTCTGTTTCTTTGCTTATGATTCTTTTTTATATGGGGTATATATTCTGAATCAATTTGCGGAAAATTTATTTCAAACTCACTCCCCTGGTTCTTTTGGCCGTTGAATATCTCTTCTTTCATAAGTTCCTTTACACTTGTCTTGACAACCTCAGACTCTACCATCTTACTTTCTTCACCATCCTGAAATTCAATATCAAATTTCTTAAGGACTAAATTAAATCCGAAATAATAACCAATTTATAACGGTTTTGGATACTACTCTCAACAAGGTTGACATTTTCAGATGGAACCCCAAGTCTTAATAGAATTCATTGAAACAAAACATAAAAATGTCTATTTGAGAAAAAGATGCCAAAACTTACCTCAAAATCTTGACATTTTCCGGTGGGACGTGTGTAAAGTCGGGACGATCCTATCAATCAACATAGTTGAAAAAGTCAACAGATTAATAGAAAAATCAATTAAACAAAAAAGCAACCCATTTTTCTTTACAACGTGGTAGAATGTTTCTATACTTTGTTTGACACCTAAAGAATCAGGGGGAAGGTGATAGGAAAGTTTACAATAGAGCTAGTTGGAGATCCAAAAAATATTGATTCTGCACATCAATTACTGACATTGACATATCTGGTAATGTGGATTAGATAGTATTAAAGAAGAAATAAGCTAAAAACTTATCCATCGCAGTGTTCAATATGGTCTAATACATTGTACCAAAGATGCACTTTCTGAACTTCTATAGACTGATTTCTTACCAACGGCTAACTTGCTCACTCGCCTTCTATCTCCGAGCAGTTTTCTGGTGGATCGACCATGGCGGAAGTCAAATATATTAATCAAACCCCATACACAACCAGCCCGATCCCTGTCGTCTTGTGAAGACCATCTTTGTAATATCTTTCCCATAATCAGTTATTCTACAGCTTCAATTCTTCATATTCATTCAATTTTCTTCCTCATGAAAAAGGAAATCAAAGATATGAAATAGGAAGCGTGATTCTCTAAAGTCAATCTCCAGCATTCTGTATAATGTCCCTGGTATATTAACATCAGCTAAATCTTCAAGGAGAAAACATGCGAAAAATCATACAGTTCAATCTAAATGTAAAACAATAAAAGAAAATAAAGAAAGAAAAAACGAAAAATTGGATAAACAAATGAATTGCATATATAAAATTTCAGCTTACGTATAACGCTAATGTAAGTGAATTTATTGTATCAATGAACCAAAAAACAAGTACATGATCCATTGATCATTGCACACAAAATTTTCCACGAAGATTTATATTGATACTACTACAAACAATAAATTAAGCTTTGCTCCCGATAAGTCACCTATTTGATTCATTATCGTATATACTAAAAGATCTGAAGCAGCAAAAAGTAAATATCAGAAAGGACAATGCAAGATAGGAGACTTACCCGAAATTTGACACAGCAATCAGCCAGATATATTTTCAAGAATCACAGAATACACTAATTTTCCTTGGGAGTACAGCTCAAGAAACTTCAGCCTTCTCTCTGTGGCAAGAACATGATTTTGCTTTACCTTTGGTCTAATTTTCAGCATGAAAAGTGCTTATATTAATGGCAATATTACCTCCCTCCCACGACTATTACCGACCAATTTTCAGCAAGAAAAAAACAATCCCAAAACTTTATAAATCATAGTGCCTTCATTTCCTTAGAAGATCTGATCAAAATCCTCTCAAACAGATCCAATCTTGCCTTCAATTATTTTAAACACACATTGCAAAAATCTTCCCAGATTCAAGCCAAGATACATTTTGATGATTCTACAATCAAAATTTTAAGTTTCAACCAAAAGGCTCTGAAAATTCAATATTAGGAAGTATTTACAAGCAATCAACACACATAAATCCAAGAAGAAAATGGGAAAAAGAAAGCTGGAACTGGAACTTTATTATATGGGTTGGATAAATCTAATTCTAAACCGGCCAAAAAGAGAAATTCATAGGAGAAAACAGGACCAACCCACTTGCTAATCTGAAGCGAAAAATTAGGTGTGGGGCAGCCATTAAAGACTGAAACATTGAAAAACAAAAGAGGGAAGAAAAAGTGGTAAGTGTGTGTCTTTTGAGCTTGTGTGTGAGGGAGAGGTTTTGGGGTTTGGGGAGAAGATTGGTATTACAATCTGGTTTACAACACATGACGTGACATTGAAAAACAAATTGTTTATGGGACAAACAGTTTTTTGATAATTCATTCATTATCAATCACATTGTCATGTGTGATTGTACAAATTGATTTATTCTTAGTGTGTGCAGGCAGGAAGAAGAAAGTGGGACCATCAATCCAAGAAAACAGGGAAGGGAAAAAACTTTCCATCGAAGAAAAAAAAAAGTATCGAGGCATTCCATTTTTATTTTCATTTTAATCTCAAGAAGTTAAGATTACAGACTACACAAACCTAAAAATTACATGCAATAAGAGAACTTTAGTGATGATTTTCTGAAATAATTATACTTACGATTTTCTCTACCACCTCGACAATATGAAATTTTTATTCTATCTACTACTGAGGACAGAATATCAATTTTACAAATTATCAATTGAATTATTCGTACTTAACAGGTAATCATTATTCTGATCCCCGAGTGCGTCCCTCTTTACTCTTCACAGAAGAGTCAATTGTTTTGTTTATTCTTGCTTAAGATTTCAATTTTGGATAAAGTAGCAACACGCGAGGATTAGGCATATGTGCCCATCAATAAGAGAAGAAAGGTTATAAAATAATTTGACTCATGGGATGTCGTGCTTCCAACCAATTCAATAGAATACTGAAAGTAAATTATTTTGTTATTTGTTGCTTAAGAGCATGTTTGGCAAAACTTAAAATATAATTAAGCCCCTATTTGGTATGAATCAAAATTTTGATAAAAATCAAAGTCCTATAAATTTTGAACCACGTATTTCATCAACTTTTATCAAAATTTACTNTTTTTTTTTTTTTTTTTTGAAAAATGCATTTTGTAATACTATTTAATGTTTTATGATGGAGAATGCATGATTAAAAAATAAGGAAAAATTTTGAGTTTGCGTGTAATATTATTTTATTGAAGAAACGTGTTGTTGAAATAAGATCAAATCACTATTCTAGAATACATTTTAAAAGAAAAAATGGAGCTCAATCAAGGTCTAAATAAAGAGAAAAATAGTTTGTTTGCATATCGATAAAATTAAAAAAGTCCGACTTGGCCTGTGCCAAACCTCACTTTTGGGCGGTGCTTTAAAAAGCATAATGTGTTGCAATTCGTGGAGGCCAAACTACGGGTTAAGCTAGTTTAGGTGACGAATAAGCGTAAAAAAGCTTAATAAGACGTTTTCTTATTTTAATATTATTTTAATTTTTTATCAATCAAAAAATTATTTAATAATTAAAAATAATACCTACCAAAAATCTAAAACGGACTTATAGGAACTTTATACATATTTTCAAAAGTTTTTAATAAAAAGATAAGTTTTAAATATAAATCAGTCTTTCAATTTTAACTTGAAAGAATTTTGGAAAAAAATTTAAAAAAGAAAATAATTACGTCTAGGCGTGCATTAGGGGCCAGCCACTTGGTTTGACGTTTTCGTCATGCATCGTTGTAGAACACTACTTTTGGGCAACCAGGACCAACCAAATATTACAGCCGTGGTTGGTTTGATCCAACTAGTTTGACATATCTATCTTTATTTTATATTGACATTTAAAATATGAGACTAAACTTGCTTAATTTAACTCGTTCTACTTGTATATTTTATATCGAATTCAATTAACGGATTAAAATAAGAGTCTAATTAGTTCAAACATACTCATTTGAAACACTTATCTCTATTATAAATGAAGCTTTTGTCAACGGTCTAAAAACATATAGAAAGATAAAGAGGTGTCTAATTCATGCTTAAAAAAGTTAATAGTCACTTAACTCAATTTACGCCTCCAAATAGAGGTAACAAATTAAAGTGGAGGATGGTGAAATGGTCTCACAATGAAGAAGGCCCCAACAGAGTACTCATCAATGTCTAGTTCAATCATGGTGTACCACCTTTTTATCAACGAACACATGGTGATGGGCAATATGTTTTCCCATTAATTACCAATATTACCAAGCATTCTAGTCTAGTCTTCTCAACAAAGATATATACAACATCCTCACTTTTAATTTATAAAGGTCATAATAAAGTGGAAACATAATTTTTAATTTGTCCAATGTAACAACACAAATCATATGTAACGTTGATGTTACTTAAGTGTGGTTCAACGTTCGCAGTCACTCCGATATTTAAGATTTTTATCATTATCACTTTGACTTTAAAATGAGTATAAAATATAAGGTATTAAGCGTCAAAGCTCCATCAATTGGAAATGTATGTTCATTGGCCTTGTTGTCCTCGATCATTCGCTCATCGACAAGAAAAATTTTAATTGAAATAAAATTATAAACCAAAAGGAAATTCTAACTAGCCATTAAAAACAGTGACATAGGTTTGTTGACCCTTTTACCCGGCTTTAAAGCACGTAAAAGAAAAAAAAACCTCGTTTCATGCTCTTAAATGGCATAAAGTAACTAGCTAATGATTAAACGCAAATACCTCGTATATGTCTTTTATGCAGCTAATTTGACTAATTTGATGTGATTATATATAGAGGAATAAATAAAGACATTTTTTCAATTCAAAGAATATTACCACTAATCTTTTAAATCAACCATAATCACATATTCTATGTCATTTGTTTTCGAAGAATAAGTAGCCTTTTTGAAAAAAAATAAAAATAAAAAATGATCAAACTATTGATATGACAAAAGGGCATAGGACGGTTGAAAATAATGCTTAACGTGGAGGGACCCAAAGTCCCAAAATCATTCTTTTATTTGCTTTATCATCTAATGATGACTTCAAAATGACAGATTAAATTCGGAAATAAAATGGTTTAATATGTCATTGAAGCTAGGAAATGTCATAATTTAAAGTTAAACCAGCCACTCATTTATATAATTTGAGCACAAAATAAATTTAGTCTACACATGACGAAGCATATTCAAGATGTACCTTATTCTATACATATAAATCTTTAGATGAGACGTTGATTCTAAACGAAATCTGTTGATGACAATGTAAACATGCAAATAAGAGATTTGGTAAAGCTATTCATCAATATGAGTCATTGTTTTGTACATTTTATCGTGCTCCCGTTTCTTTATGCAGGGCACATTGAAGTGAGTATGTAATGTCAGTGGCAACATTGGGGCCAACTAAAAATGAATCATTCAATTCTAATTGTGTTGATTCATGCCTTCATGCCATTTATTCAAAGTTTAAATTGCTAAAAAAAAATTACATAAATTAATCCAATCCCCTCACCACACATACTTTGAGTTTAGCTTTTTAGAGGTATAGTGATTGAACCGTTGAAGACAATAGGAAACGATGAAAATGTTTAATTTTTATTTATACATTCAACGTCGCTTCATGCTTCCATTGCAAGACAGAAGAGACAGGACCATTGAGATAGATATATATAAACCATTGGTGCCTTCTTTTACAACAATTCTTCGAATCTATAAAAAAGGAAGGCCAATGTAGTAAGCTATACTCCGTTAAAATCATAATAATTATCGTCAAAGTGTAGAATTTCCAGATTTTTCAATACGTGAAAGTAATTTTAAAGAGTTCGACCATAGATAGACATTTCTCAAGAACACCAAAATAAACAAGTGGTAGTGGCCTTATGAAATAAAGAAATCAAGAGAGACTATCTTTATTGGCTCATTAGACTTTATGTTCCACGAAAATAGAACCACTTCTTCCAGAAGGAACTGCAAATCCATATCACGGAAATGCTGAATACTTCACTCATTTATGAGCTATTTGATAATCGTAAAACACCACAACGA